AAAGAGATGGAGCTGAATGAATCCTGGTTACTAAAAACAGCTGCCACAGCCTTAATTAAACATAACTTTAATCTTTAATACAATTTAAACAGGTGAGTTATATAAATATTCACCCCCGTACAGTTTAGCTCTAGAGACCAAAAAGCTGTAAACATGTTTATTTCTACTGTTGGATATTTTAATATGGGACTCACTGCTGGAGCCAGCCTCTAGTGTCCGTTAGAGGAACTGCAGGTTTGGTTACTTAAATGTAACAAATTACTACATTAAAGTTACAATCAGACTTTCTCAGACGTGTTTTTATTGGAGATGTGGGTACAAACACAGTCCAAAGATAACAAATATCTCCTTGCTTCATATTTTCAAGGAAAAACACAACAGATAAAACATCCCCCATGTCCCAAAACACCCTCCCTGTCTCTAAAAATAAAAATACCATGTCTGATCTGGTTGACACATTTACATGGATGAAGCCTCATAGGCTAGAGCACTAAACAATGAAACAGTTAAAAAAATAAATAAATAAATAAATAAATGAATAAAATAAAATACCACGTCTCTGCTCATTGTAGCTCATAGGCAAGAGCATTAACATAGAAAATGTGTAAAATACATTAAATGCAAAAAAGTAGGCCACCAAAAACCAAAACAGTAAAATGTATAGCTGAGTAATGACAGAACTGGTGTAGTTTGGGTAAAATAAGACAAATCTCTCACCACCATCTGGTCTCTACGGTCTGGTTCAGTTGTCTTTTTAATGCTCACAGCTGTCAGATAAGACAGATTTCCCCATTGTGGGACAAATAAAGGTTTTCTTATCTTATCTTATCTTATAAATTATTTAAGTGCTGCTGTGGGACACATTTATCTAGTCATTAATACTTCTAACCACCAGAGGGCAGCGACTGCTATTGAAACCGCCACAACATGCTCGAAACCTCATGAGATGTGGCACAGAAGTCATTGGTGGAAAAAATGTACGTATTATTTGGGTCTCACCAATAGGTGTTGGAAAATGTCTGCAGGGTTTAACTGATATGTATGAAAATCGGTATGCACCCAAAACCCAACAAGAAGTCAGCCATTTTGAATTTAGTGGTCATTTTTGGGAAATTTGCATGTGTAGTCCTTTAACCTTTTTGTATTTTATTGTATTTTATTGTATTTAAATGTACCTTGCTGCTATGACGACCTATTTTCC